ATTCCTTTATATGACACTGATATTTTAACACGTCCACTCCATTCAGCCTCCCAGTAACAGCGTCCAGTCAGACTCTCAACACACAGAACCTGATGACACTCATCAAATCTCTCTGGATGATCAGGATACGGCTGATGATCTTTCACACATGTGATTTTCCTGTTCTCATCAGACAGAATGAGACGAGTGTTTGCTGTGTTTGGATCCAGTGTGAGACCACAGGCATCTGAACACAAGAAGAGAGAAACGTACTTGGTTACAAACGTAACCTGGGTTCCCTGAGATATGGGAACGAGTAATGCATCTGCTAAGACGCTATGGGGAAAAGTCCTTTTTTCTCTTAAACCGAAGCCTTTTTTAATAACGCAGTGTAACTGCGCGGCCATTGGTTCACTTTATGCAGTATACTTTAAAAACTAACCAATGGCTCGGCAGCGGTGCTGCACGAACCTATGGCCAAGAAGCCCGCCCAAGCACGCCAGAATGGGCGGGGCCATCTGGCTTTATAAGCGGCCTCTTTGCCCTAGGTTAGGGCGAAGGTCAGGTTACTTCAACTGAAGCGACGACTAAGTCGTGCAGCTGCATAGCACGGCTAGCAACGCAGTACTCGTTCCCGTATCTCAGGGAACTAAGGTTACATTTGTAACCGAGTATGTTCCCTATCGATACTTCACTCGTATTGCGTCTGCTAAGACGCTATGGGAACCAGTACAATCACGCTGTGCTATTGGCAGAGGAACGACTACATGTGTACCCTTGCCCTAGGCACTTCAGGGACCAAGGGGACAAGAATAGCAAACACCTCCCAAGGCGAACGGGCTAAGCTCACAGAGGTTATGCCCGGCCTGAGTGATCATTCCAGAAGATTTGCACAGCCCCGGCACCCATGAGGGCCGAGAGTGCACAAGTAAATCCTCTGATAGGTTTGTGCGTGCAAGTGCTAGTCAGTTATGCAGAAAGAACCCTAGCCTGTAAGGCAGGGACATCCAGGTTGTAAAACCTAGCAAATGTGGACGGCGAGGCCCAACCGGCCGCCGCACAAATTTCTGCAATGGACCACACCCAAGAAGAGGCGACGCCTCTAGTTGAATGGGCTCATACTCCAATGGGGCATTGCAGGCCCAAGGAAGAGTTAGCTAGTGTAATAGAATCAACTATCCACTTAGGAAGTCTCTGCTTCGTGACCGGATGCCCATTAGCGTGGCCACCGAAGCAAACAAAGAGCTGTTCTAAACTGGGCGGAACGCTCGATGTAGTGTTAATTTTGTTAACCAAGACTATGACGAAAAATGTTCGTTGACGAGCATTTTTCCCATGACTAAGACAAGACGAGACGACAATAAGGTCAATAAACGAAAACTAAGACTATATCAACATGCAATTTCATTGACGAAATAAGACGAGATTAAAATGTATTCAAAAAGATAAAAACTTTACCAAAAACCTCTTTTTATTTTTGTCAAAAAAAAGGAGACAAAATGTTATTGCGGACTGCTCTACGTAGGATAGAAAGGTTTGACAGGCCAGACATACCGCCAGCATTTCGAGGCAGTTGATGTGAAGACCGTCCTCTGCTTTCGACCAGTGGCCGAAAGCCAGTTTTCCTTCGCACAGAGCTGCCCAACCCGTGTTGGAAGCATCTGTCGAAACCATCTTTCTCCTGCAGACCATTCCCAGGGGGACGCCCTGTTCCATTCACTGAGCATTCTTCGAAGGGATCAGGGCTGTTACACAGGCCTGGTATACCCTTATAAGCAGGCGTCTGTGATGCCACGCATGTGATTGAACCCGCGGTTTCAGCCAGTACTGAAGGGGACGCATACGAAGCAGGCCCAACTGTAGCACTGGATCCCAGCATCTTTTGAAACGACTTGAGCATGCTCTGTCGCGACCACCGCTCTCAATTTGGGTCGAGTCGAACACTGTTCCCAGGAACGATACTCGTTGGCTGGGGGACAGTGCACTCTTGGCAAAAATCTCGGCTATATTGTTTGCGATTGTGGTTGCTGAATAAATGCACTTACTCAACCGCTGTTGTTTTAATAGAGAAAAAGACTATTGCAATTTTAGAATTAGTATAATTACTAGGAATTGCAAAAGTAAATTTCTCAAATGACAACAATCACTACGATTATAATTTTGAGAAAAAAATATTTTTATCAGTTTAACCATTATACAGAATGACGAAAATGTGACTAATATTTCATTGACTAAAACCTGACTAAAATGCTCATACATTTTATTGAATAAACAAAAACAGGACAAGTTTGTCTAAATATGATAACTAAAATGCACATTTGAGTAAGACTAAATTAAAAATGGCTGCCAAAATTAATACTGCTGTACGGTTAATTAATAAT